TGTTCTTTGGCAAGTCCTATTTGCGTGACGCCGTTGTAGGGTTCTACAGCGCTCAGAAACGACGGACGCCTGTTAATTTGGTATTCGAGAACCACGAAGATACTCGGAAGTTTATCATCGCCAAATAATAAAACAGGCATGCATTGAAAAGATTTTTACCTTTACGGATTGCATACTGAGAGCTTACTGTGGGAATGGCGTGGTCTTGCTGCGTATCATTCTTAATTTGTATAATTCTTTGTTCTCATTTGTATCTGAAAAGACTTGTGTGTTAAGGTGTGGGTTTTGAAGAACCGCCTTAGCTTCGCGCGCTGGGGCGGGCTAAAACGCTTTCAATACCTTTTTGCAAGGTAGCAACACGGTTTTATAGAGAATGGGGAGTATTTGAAACTCATCACAGTGTATTATTGTTGTTTTTTCTTGATGATAGTGATAAATAGAAAATAAAAGAAAAGAAAAAAACTATCTATGTTTATTTATTTTTTACTTTTATTCTTTTTTTTTTTGTATGGGAGGGGTGGGGGAAACAAAGACTAGACTATATTATTTTTAAAAGCTTGTGGAAATAATGTGTGATAGGATGAGGTTAAATAAAAGAGAGTGGTGATGTTTTTGTTTACATTTTTTTTTTCTGTGCCTATGATTTCTTTTTATTTTTTTCTCTCGAAAGGTAACCGCATTGGGAGGTAGCGGATGTGGTGATTTTCTTTTTCCGTCCCAACCACCTTCACTACCCTCCACGTGGAGGAGTCCAGTAGTGACGGGACCCCCCCAAAAAAGACTGCTGCCTTTTAAGTAATCAACAGAATTGTGCATCATGGATTAGTTTTTATGATTTACATGGTTTAACGGTGAGTAAACGACTGACAGGTGTATCGCTCGGAAGGTAGTGGCATTAAGTCTAACTCTTGAAATTTTGCTTTTGTCTTGTATTTTTTTCCCTCCATAGAAGGAAAAAAAAAAGAACTGAATCCAGGCGCATATTCGGAAAAAGTGTGTATATGTATATATGTCAGTATCAAAAGAAAAGAGTGTAATAGTGGGCTGAATAAATATGAAATGGAAAGACTTTTTCAATAATAACTCTTGCACCACAGGTTGGTGTTTGCTACTTTGAATGTCACATACTTCTTTGTATCTTCCTTCTTTTCACCTGCTTTCTACAAAAAAATGATTTTTCTAAGAGACAAGAGAATTAATATTTAGACCCAGTGTCTTGAAATAACTCACTAAAATACGTAGAAATAAACACCCAGATAAAGAGATCAAGGAAGGGACGACGCAATACTATCAAGGTATGAGGAAAAATAAGGCAATGTCCTGCAGAATATTCTTCGCGCTTCTTCTTATTCTGTGCTCAAGCGCCGTCCTCTCTCACGCCATGTCCACAGAAGAGCGCGAAAGAAGCAGAGTCATACTCTTTGAACGAGGAGTGACGACAGTTCCATTCGAAGATGATAATGGGACGACATATGAAAGAGTAGTCCATTCATTCCGTATTCCTTCCCTTATTGACGTGGATGGTGTGATGGTCGCCATCGGTGACGCCCGT